ACTGGCCCTTTTCTGGAACAGTGTTCCGGAATAAGGACTTATGCCCGAGCGGGAGCAGAATAGTTTTTCCAGAATAGCGGCTGATTTTGTACAGTAGAGCGTCGTTGCTTTTCCGGAAATTCAAGGGCCAGTGTAGACAGCTCGCAGCTTATTCCGGAAAAGCGGCTGATTTTCCGGAATAAGTGGCCCAGTGTAGACACAGCCCCTAGGTCTTATATCCTAGGGGGTGGTAAGGAGGGATAAGATAAAGGTCTATAAAAGCTGCAGTGGTGTGGAGAAAGTGAATCTCACACTGTTCCTTACCCCATTCATGTAACACAGCAACCAAGGGTCACCCGTAAAGTTAATGAGAAGAGGTTTAAAACAAACAAAAGGAATTACTTCTTCGCTCAATGCATAATTAGCCTGGGGAACTCCTAGACAGGGGATGTTGTGAAGGCCAAAATAATAGCTAGGTCCCCAAAACAATTCGATAGTTCTTGGAAGATGCCTCCATTATTGGCTATTAGCCAAAATGGTCAAAAACACCCACCATCTTCTGTCTCAGAGCATCTGACTTTCAGAAGATGGGAGCAGACAACGGAGCAGGAATCACATGATAATTGCCCTTGTCTATTGCAGACAAGCCTTTTCCATGGGAACCATCTGTTATAGGGGTGTTGTAGCCATCCCTTGAGACATCTGTGGCAGGGTGACCGCATGTCCTCTTTGGGCTGGGACGGTCCCTTTCTTATTCCCTCTCCCTGCCACCACTAGTATTTCTTTTCAAAGGAAGGTATTTGACCCGCTTCCTCTTGCTGCCGTGATCAGTGGGAAGGGCAAAGAGGACAGCAGCCCGCGTGTGTGGAAAAAGCAGGGCAGTAGGCAGCGGAGGAAAGTTCTGGGGAAACGCGTGGCGATTCCAGACCCCAAAAGTGAGTGAGATAGAGCTAGGATTGGAGGTGAGGGTTCCAGCCAAAGGTCACAGCCTATTGAGATCTGAGTGGGCTCCCGTAGGGTTCCAAAGAGTTGTGACAGTCTCACATGGACACTCTTGGGTGAGTAGCTGCACGTCTCCATTATTGTCATTGGGAAATAGGCTGACCCGAGATGGCTGTTCTGGATGGGAGGCTGCACGGGGAGGAGAGGGGATAGCGCTGCCGTTTAGGGATGCGGTTCTCTGCCACGAGGAACAGAGGTGCATGGCTGGAGCTGGAGCTTGGCTGGGAAGAGGAGGGCTTTCTTTCACTGCATGAAACATTTTCACCCAGACTAAAATGTTTCCTTTTCATTCACTTTTATGGGCTGAGTTTTCATCGGAAACGGATCCTTTATCTCTGAAGGCTCAGCTGCCGGGAGGCTGCCGATTGGCATCACTGACCAGGACAAGACACACCCTGGCAGTACTGACCCGCCTGTGCTAGCAAGGAGCTGGAGAGGGTCCTAAAGCAGCTGTGGAGCCCCAGAGATTGTGGGTGGCTGGGCCTAGTTCCTAGAGGAGCTTTGTGCATAAGTTTGGGGATTCCTGGATCCTGGGTCCCCTTCTTCATTCTTCAGGGAACAGAGAAGGATCTCCCCTCCTGGAACAATTGGAGGGAATTTTCCATGCAGAGATTCCTGGTGGACTCTCTCTTCTCTGCTTGCAGCTCGGATTTGTAATTCAAGAAGGGGGGCGGCTGGGGAGAAATCTGGTTGTTTATTATTAGTATTAGAATTATTTCAGCAAGCTCACAGCCATGACAGTATCATGGCTACCGCTCAGCCATCCCTCAGGGAGCCATGTGACTAAACTGAACCAAAAAACCCTCAGAGCTGACAAGTCCAGATTCCTGGTACAGACCCTATAGCAGGGCTGGTGCCGCAGGCCAGTTGCTTAGCATCAGCCCTCATCCCCTGGCATTTGGCCTCCTTCCATTTGCCATTGGCTGTGACGGGGTTAAAGCTGGTGCACAGGAAGCCAAGCAGCTGAGGTTCCCTGATGGCCCCCAAGGGAAGGTACAAACATGCTGCATAAAGGCCGTTGCCTCCCTAGCTGAACACACACTGCCTGCTGCCCGTGCAACCTCTCTGGTGATGCCTTGTCCCTGAAGGAGAAGACCTCTGGTGCCAGCAGCTCCCTTCTAGCAGGAACTGGGTACGTTGGTGGGTTTCACTGTCTGTAACATGCCAAGTGCAGGGCGAAGGCTGTAGGCTGTTTGCATTGGCAGCTGTTCTGTGCAGCAGCAGAGGACTCAGCTGGGCTGTCTGGGGTGACTCAGTGATGGGTTGGAGGGCAGGCAGCACTAGGGAGTTTGGGAACCCTCCCCTACATCTGTCCAACCTCCACAGGGAGCTGTACAAGCAACATAGAAATCTGGCATTTAAAGCCATCTCAGCATGTTAAACCCCCGATGACCCAAGCCAGGATTTCAAATGGGCTCCCATTTTATAAGGTGCCATGTGCTCTGGGCCCGATCCTGCCAGGGTCTGAACAAGAGGGGACCCCACGGAATATGGGCAATTCTGAGAAATTTAATCACTAAATGCATTTTGAATAGTTTTATTGTCTGGCTTGATTCTGAGGTCAGGAACTCAGAGCTGCGTGGCGCAGAGGTAACTGCTCTGTTTGCTGACTAGCTGAGGGCACCCCGGCTCCGTTCCTGTGGATGCTCCTCAGAGTCACAGGGCTACCGGCATCTCTGCCCCCTCTGGTCTCTGAGTGATAGAGTGACCATCAGGGCTTGTACCCATCCCTCTCATGGGTCCCTTTCGACTGGGCCCTGTCCCACAGCATACTGTGGGTCTAATATCCTTACATGGGAGCTGTGGGAAGGTTTGGTCTCCGTGGTTCTTCTCTTTGGAAGGTTGCGACTAGTGAGACGCGTGACCAGCCAGCCTTCTAGAGCCAAATACTGGTCAGTCTGAGCAGCAGGAGTAAAACATAGCCTGGGAGAAGAAGACGTTTTCCAGCAACAGGCTGACGATGTCTCTGATCCAGGCTCCCATTGTGTTGAGGACCCAGGCGGGCCATGGGACTCATCATGCCTGAAGAAAAGGTGTGGGGTCACTGTATAGTGGATGAGAGCTGTGGGAATCAATATTTAAAATAGTCCCCAGTGCCTCATATTACTCCTTAAACGCCACAGGCTGACATAACTGACCCTGGGAAGCTGTCAGCTAGTCATCCAAAGACAGAAGAGACTGAATTTTTGTTTGCAGATGAGTGGCTGAATGAGGGTGGAGACGCTGCGACCTTTGCAGGCTCTGAAGAAATCCAGATAACAAGAACCACATTTGTAGTATCATTCTGACCTGAGAAATCATCTCTGAGGGTATGTCTACACTAGCCCCCTACTTCGAAATAGGGAGCTAGTGTAGACATACCCTGAGAGAAGATCACAGGGGACAGAATGGATTGACGTGTGTCCTAAGCTATAGATGTGTGAATGTGAAGCCCAAACTTTCCATTGTGTTACAGGTATCACAGACCAAACTTTCAAGCCATGCATGTGTATGGAAGGCCAGCAGCAGAGTTGTGGGAATCTCTAAAGGATGGAGCATTGTTAACTTTACTGCTTTAAAGCACTTGGCTTATAAATTATTTCATACATCCCTCACATCCAGTTGTCAATCAGTTTGCACAATTAACTCTTTGTTCTATGAACAGTTGTTTGATACTGGTTACTTGTAACTGGCCAGAAGACATAAGCTTTCACGGGGGGAAAAATACTTTGTCATGTGTATCTGACAAAGTGGCTTTTTTGTCACAAAAGCTTATATCCAAATAAATCTGTTAGTCTGTAAGGTACCACAGGACCCCTCGGTATACTTGCGGATACAGACTAACCCAGATCCCCCTCTGATACTTGACCAGAAAGTGTTTGTGACACTTACATTCTAGTTCATGAACACCATCCTTCTGCCCTTCCTGTTCCAGAAGTGCCCAAAAGACCTGAGAGACAAGAACCACTGGGTTTTGTTTCAGCAAAGACTAGAGCAGAGGAGCAGAAACAGGGAGTGTAACGTGGTTGTATGTAATTTACACACATAACCCATTATGAAAGCATGACAGAATTTTTTTCTCTCTTAGCTTGATATTAGCACAAGCCTAGTGTTAGCAATAGTTACCCATTTGTGATGCTCTCCCCACCCCGCCCCAGCTGACCTCGCTGTCTGTGTTAACTTGTAACTTGCCAAAAGTCTACAGACCCTTGCATGGGGAGAGGGTGCAGGTCCTGTGGGGAGAAGGCTGTAAGATGCTCCGATTCTCTACACTCAGCGAACATTTGCCATGCAAATACTTTAGCTTTTCTTTCAGGGAAAGTATCCCCATGAGCATTTTATAAGGAAAATTAATAGATCCTGCTTCTGATCCAATGCACACATCTGTATCTGGAGTGACTATATTTGCACTGAATGTTGCTGAATTCAGAACCCTGCCCTAAGAATGTATCCCATGTTCTGCAAAGAAGAAGCCTAATTTGAACATTGAGGAGTGGAGAAATTTTAAATAAATACATATAATGAGGCAATGAAACACATGTATAAAGTTTCAGTGGAGGACAGCTCAATAGAAAGACACTTCACCACACCCTTGCCATGTGATTACACACCTCACAAGAGGACACACACACAAGTGGAGGTAAAGAAAAACCACACAGAGCTCCAGCAAGTGGCAGAACTCAGATACAGAAGACAGGAAGGGTGCAGAGAGCTTATCAAGATTCACAGAGGATATGGATGTTTATATGGTTAACCAGTAAATACAATTACAGAAGCAAAGATTTGCTTTTAAATGTGTTGTAAGGGTTTTAAATCTTCCTGATTTGTATCAGGAACTATATATCTCTAGTCTAGTGAGGGAAAAGGTAAAATCAGTGGTGTAAAGGCAAAACAATGTTTGATGATACTCCACGAACTCCTGACACTCTCTCAACTTCAGTTCAGCATAGAAAGGTGTCTTGTTAAATATCATCTGGTCTCCTGATCTTTTTCTTTTCAGGAAGGAAAGCTCATAACTCCTTGGACCTGCCCAGTACAGAATGTCAGCTGTAAATGACACCCAAACAGAATTTGCAGTATTACTTCTCACTGGGATACCTGGTCACGAAGATGCCCATCTCTGGATCTCCATCCCCTTCAGCTTCATGTATACGATTTCGATAGTAGGCAATGCAGTCATTATGTTCTTTATAAAAACAGATCCAAGCCTCCATGAGCCCATGTACATTTTCCTTTCCATGTTGGCCCTCACAGACCTAGGTGTATCGATAGCCACCGTACCGACGATACTGGGCGTATTCTTGTTTAACTCTAGGGAGATCAGCTTCAATGTGTGTTTGGCCCAGTTGTTTTTCATCCACTCACTTTCGTTCATTGAATCTTCTGTGCTCTTGTCGATGGCCTTTGACCGGTTCATTGCAATCTGTAACCCACTGAGATATGCTTCCATCTTAACCCTGCCGAGAATAGGCAAGATGGGGCTGGTGTTCGTGGTAAGAGGAGTGGTTGTAGCATTCCCACTCCCCCTTCTTCTGAAATGGTATCGATACTGTCGAGCCAATGTCCTATCCCATTGCTACTGTCTAAACCAGGATGTCATGAAGTTGGCTTGTTCAGACATAACAGTCAGCAGCATCTACGGCTTGTTTCTTGCAATCTCCACATTTGGTCTGGACTCGCTGCTCATCTTCCTCTCTTACGTGAAGATCTTCAAAACAGTGCTGAGCATTGCGTCCCGCAAGGAGAGCCTCCGGGCCCTGAACACCTGCGTCTCCCACCTTTGTGCTGTCCTGCTCTACTACACACCCATGTTCGGTCTGTCTGTGCTACACAGATTTGGGAACAGCTCTTTCCACTTGCTTCAGATCCTCCTAGGCTACGTCTACCTGCTGGTTCCACCCCTGATGAACCCAATCATCTACAGCGTGAAAAGCACACACCTTCGTGCGAGGATCATGAGGGCATTTGTCAAGTGAAGGGTCCGTTCATCACTCCAGGACTGGTGACACAGGAGACAAAAAAAACTTGAGATGATACAGCCCCATATTTCATCCTGGATCCTTATTCCCTGAGGCTCTTCCCTTTCCTCATCTCTTCACTCAAGGCTGCATAAGAACATAAGAACGGCCATACTGGGTCAGACTAAAGATCTATCTAGCCCAGTAGCCTGTCTGCCGACAGTGGCCAAAACCAGGTGCGCCGGTGGGGGTGGACGAAAGACAATGATCAAGCGATTTATCTCCTGCCATCCTTCTCCAGCCTCTGACAAACAGAAGCTAGGGACACCATTTATATCTCCTGGCTAATAGCCTTTTATAGACCTGACCTCCATGAAACTGTCTAGCTGCTCTTGAAACTCTGTGATAGTCCTAGCCTTCACAGCCTCCTCTGGCAAGGAGTTCCACAGGTTGACTACATTCTGTGTGAAGAAGAACTTTCTTTTATTAGTTTTAAACCTGCTACCCATTAACTTCATTTGGTGTCCTCTAGTTTTTCTATTATGTGAACTGCTAAATAACTTTTCTTTATTCACCTTCTCCAAACCACTCATGATTTTATATACCTCTATCATATCCCCCCTCAGTCTCCTCTTTTCTAAACTGAAAAGTCCCAGTCGCTTTAACCTCTCCTCATATGGGACCCGTTCCAAACCCCTAATCATTTTAGTTGCCCTTTTCTGAACCCTTTCCAAGGCCAAACTAACTTTTTTGAGGTGAGGAGACCACATCTGTACACAGTATTCAAGATGTGGGCGTACCATAGTTTTATACAGGGGCAGTAAGATATTCTGGGTCCTATTTTCTATCCCTTTCTTAATAATTCCTAACATCCTATTTTACTTTTTGACCGCCGCTGCACACTGTGTGGAAGTTTTCAGAGAACTGTCCACGATAACTCCAAGATCTCTTTCCTGATTTGTCATAGCCAAATTAGCCCCCATCATACTGTATGTATAGTTGGGGTTATTTTTCCCGATGTGCATTACTTTACACTTATCCACATAGATTTCATTTGCCATTTTGTTGCCCAATCACTTAGTTTGGTGAGATCTTCTTGGAGTCCCTCACAGTCTGCTTCTGTCTTGACTATCCTAAACAGTTTGGTATCATCCTCAAACTTTACCACCTCACTGCTTACCCCTTTCTCCAGATCATTTATGAATAAGTTGAAAAGGATTGGTCCCAGGACTGACCCTTGGGGGACACCACTAGTTACCCCTCTCCATTCTGAAAATTTACCATTTATTCCTACCCTTTGTTTCCTGTCTCTTAACCATTTCTCAATCCAAGAAAGGGCCTTCCCTCTTATCCCATGGCCATGTAATTTACACAAGAGTCTTTGGTGAGGGACATTGTCAAAGGCTTTCTGAAAATCTAAGTATACTATATCTACTGGATCCCCCTTGTCCGCATGTTTGTTAACCCCTTCAAAGAACTCTACTAGATTAGTAAGACATTAGTTTACAGACATTAGGTTTACAGAAACCATGTTGACTTTTGTCCAACAAATTATGTTCTTCTATGTGCCTGACAATTTTATTCTTTGCTATTGTTTCGACTAATTTGACTGGTACTGAAGTTAGGCCGCACCTCAACTGCTCCCCTTTAACTGAGACTCTGCTCTCAGTTCAGGGTGGAAGCCGGAGCCGGGTCATGGTGCTCTGAGGATCGCCAGGGTTTCCATATTTTTCCCCCAAGATGTACATCCCAGGGAGGGTGGCGAGTCCATAGCTCCCCAAAGCTTCCTGGGCTGCTGTGTTGGTCTCACCATGGACCGACTCTGGCCTGGCGGGGAGGCAGAGGATCAGGGAAAGGGAAGGGGGCAGGGATTTGTGGGAAGAGATGGGGCACATAAGGGGATTCGGGGCGTGGCAAGACTGGGACAAGTCTCACCCCTGCTAACGAGGCAGTGGTATGTCCCTGTGGGATGGGGGATGGGGCTGGAGGGGGCAGAACCTGCATTTTGGAGAAGACTGAACTAATGTGACCCCCCCTAAAGGGGGCTCCTCCTCTCCATGTCCCTTACAAGGGTCTCAGAGCCGAGGTTTTTGTGCCTGCAGGGTTACCTCAGACCCAAGGAGAAAACCGGGGCTGGCGTCTCTCCTCAGGGACCTGGCCGGCGTGTGCCGTGCTCTGGGAAGCTGTTACCCCTGGGAGAGCTCGGCCCAGACCCCAGGCTGCTCTGAACTCCAGTGAGGCAGGGTGAGAACAGGTCTGTGACTCAGCCCTTTGTAACTGGACACCCCCAATCTCCACTGCACAGGGGGGCTCTGCTGGCCCAGCAGGGAATTCGGCCGGGCCTCTCGTCACCCATGTGACTGGAAGGCTGGTTCTGTGCTGCTGGCCCATTGAGCCTGAAGGGTCTAACAGGCAAACAATCGAGCGGTGGCGGGGGAATCGGGGGTGGGGGTGTCTCCTTAGACAGTCTGGTTGGCAGGAAGCAGCTTGAGGGCAGAGATCAGCTTCACCCCTCAGCCTGTAACTCAGACACGGCTCTGTGCTATAGTGACCGGGGCTAGGCTCATGCGGGTTTCAGCAAAGGCTGCTTCTGTGAGCAAGGGGGAAAAGCTGGGAAGATGCTGTCAGAGCCACAAGGAATCCAGACCGTCAAAAGAGCTGTGTAGCTCCCCCAAAGTGTGTCCACCTCTCTTCCCGCTTCTGTAGATCAAAACCTCCCTGGCTCTGGTTGTACTGATACGTGAGACAAATGTGTGTAGACGGGTGACAGCTGCCTAGTATTTCCAAACCATTTTCTCTAATGCTTTGTGGTGTCTGACAATAAACCTCCTCGTTTTAAGGATGCCAGCAGTGACGGGTTAGCTCTGGACACAAACACACGAAGGAGAAGAGACTGGGCTCTCCGATCGGATATGCTTGGTGCTCATCTTTTAGCAGGACAGGTGTTCTTCCCAGTTGAAGAGTGGGACAATTTTTAGACTCCCCCAAGATGGAACTTGGTTTAGAGGGTAAAGAGACCATATAGCCCAGATTTACGATGACAGTTCTGATTCTTCCTGGCCAGCATCTGTCCTTGTTGAGATCAAGTTGAAGCCAAGGTAACAGTCCACGCAAGACAGTGAGTTGAAGATCTAGAGGATTTTGGGCCAGAAGGAGCCATAATCTAGTCCCTATCTTTTCCCGTTCGGGGTGTGGGCCTCCTTGAGGGTATGTGGCATTAACAAGGGATGGGCATGAAAAGGATTTGGAACAAAGCCTCCTTGTTTGCATATTGGCCTGCTCCAGACAGATGCCGTGTGCAGACTGCGCTGTGCATTGGAATCTATGTGGGGCTGGGCATTTTGTCGGCTTTCTGATAACGTTGCCTACCATTATACAAAGTCATCGCCAGCTGCTGGTGGCTCTGTGTGCTGTGCCCGGAGGAAAGCAGCGGCCACCCTCGCAGTTTTGTGTTTGGCCTCATGGAGGCACCTGCTCTCACTTCCCCCCATCAGATGGGAGTTCCCCCAAGTAAGAGCCTGTGCCCCAACCTCCTGCCCCACCCTCCTTCCATATTCTAACTCCCTCCCAGACACCATCCCATAACACTGGTCCCCTGCATCTAATCTCATACCCAGACCCCTTCCCCCTCTCCGCCTCCTGCACTGAGGCCCCTCACGCACTCTGAATCCCTTGGCCACAGCCTGGAGCATCCTGTAGCCCCAATGCCGGGTCCTCAACCCCACCACAGACCCTGCACCCACAGGCAGAACTCTCACCACCTCCTGCTCTGTACCCATCCTCGTGCCTCAACCCTCAGCCCCCTTCCACTCCCTGACACCCTAATTTTTGCCTGCACCCCAGAGCCTAAGGGCCCTCACAGAATCTAGTGGGCCCCGGCCCCCAGAAGAGTTCAGCCGGCCCTCAACCTGCTCCATGACGGATGAGCCCCACTCTGGAGTGCTGGAGATAAACCTCACAGCCTGCATCCGCGTTCCCAACCTCTCCACGTGAGGGGGGAGCTAGATCTGAGGGAGGGGCGGGATGGGTCTGTTCACTACCCAACCCCCAGCACCATCGTTTTGGGTGCTGCGCCTGTGAGCTGCCAACAGCACCAGGCCCCCTGACGGGGGAGGAGTAAAAGGGGCAGTTGCCCCAGGACCTGGTGATTCAAAGGGACCCAGGGCTTTGGCTGCTGTTACCGCAGCAGCAGCCAGAACCCCAGGCCCTTTAAATCACAACCGGAGCACTATGTGGCACACTCTAGGCTGTGAGGGCTGTGGGGGAGGGGCGCTGTGCTCCATGCACAATGCAGGTCTGGCTGCCCCTGGCCCTGCCTCTTCTGCCCAAGGCTCCGCCCCTTCCAGGAGTGCAGAGCCAGGCCCGCCCCATAGCTTGCTCAGGGGCCCACAGAGGTTGCCGGCCCCGCTGAATAGCACCCACTGTCTCCCTCCCCCCATGTAGGACTGTCCCATGTCTCTGGAACCCAACTGGAGCCCACTCAGGTCTCAGGAGGCTGTTGCCTTTGGCTGGAACCCCCCAACTCATCTCTATCTCACCCCCTTTCATAGGCTGGCATTTCCACTCACCAGCCCAGAACTTTCCTCCACTGCCTACTGCCCTGCTTTCTCCACACCAGCAGGCTTTCCTCCTCTTTGCCCTTCCCACTCATCATGCCAGCAAGAGGAACCAGGTCAAACACCTTTGAAAAGAAATACTTGTGATGGCAGGACTTTAAAAAGGGACTGTCCAGTCCCAAAGAGGATGTATGGTCACCCTATTACAGATTTTTCCTATGATGGCTAGAACACACCCGTAAGAGAGGGATCCCATGGAAAAGGCTTGTCTGCAACAGCCCATCTATCAGAACATAACAATTTAAGGACATAAGAACGGCCATATTGGGCCAGACTAATGGTCCATCTAGCTTCTTTCAGTAGCCTATGCAAGGTGCTACAGAGAAAATGAACAGACAAGGGCAACTACCTTGTGAATATAAGAATATATAAGAACACAAGAAATGCCATACTTGGTCAGAC